GCATTTCCTTCACAAGACATTAATAGATGGACTAGAGTCATGAGTATTAATTGTGGATTATAATGACGTTTTTATCAGCTGTTTGGACTCTCATTCTGACAGGACCTATTCACTATAGAGAATCCATTGGTGAGCAAGTGATGTAATGCACATTTCTCTAAATCTGCTCTGATGAAGAAACAAACTCATCTACATCTTGAATGGCCTGAAGCTGAGAAAAATCAGATTATCATTTTTGGTTGAACTTTTTTTTTTAAGCAAATAAACTTCAGTTTTAAGTAATCTGGACTGCTATTATGGTGCTTTTGGTCTTTTGTGGAACTTGACCGTTTGAATTATTGTTCTGCTTTTGTTGTATGTAAATGAGTAGCATAAAGAATTCATTTTGTGTTCTAAATAAAGTCATGCAGGTTTGGAAAGACAAGTAAATGATGACAATTTTCATTTTTATTCTAAGAAATCCCTTTTTTTAGAGATCTGATGACCAGTTAGCATGAAAGGTTATCATACCTTCCTCTTGAGCTGTTGGATTTCAGCCTGAGTCACAGCATGTTTGATCTGCAACTGTGCCAAAGTAATACATGGGTTAAAGAATGTAACTAAATCTGCTCTTTCGCCATGATGAAACTTGCTTTTTAATGGGGGAAAAAAACACAACACACTGATTAGTCTGAATGCATTTTTCAAAGATGACCTAAAGTGACAGTTTGAAAAGACATTTTTAAGACTTTCGGTGGGTGGCTTATTATAAAATGTAACAAAAAAAACTACTGCAGCCATAGGTGTCTTTCTTGTCTTCTACAAGAAAGACACCGATATTAACATGTATCAAGGGTGTAAAGTATATTTATTAATGTTTTAGTTTGTTATTTTAGTAAACTGGCTTTTTGAGGTGGGACTACCACTTTTTAGGTGAAGGTATCCTAGTTACATCATTTATGTGGTGGAGTTTGTTCCATGTAAACAGTGCTTAATGAACTTCCTTGCATCTTTGCTAAGAGACAAAGCAAAAGTAACCGGGTTTGTTTTTGCATATTTAAAAGATTGGATACTCCCTAATTTGTATTCTAATAAGGGCCTTTGATGTAAACAGAGACCTCCACAGTTTGCTGGAGTCTGTGGAGTTTGTCCGTTCTAATTGTTTATCTACATACTGTATATAAATGTATGCACCTTTCCACCAAACATATTAATATAGTATTTTAACCTTTTTTTTTTTTT